TCCAAACACCGCACTGCATAAAACATTCATAAGAATTTTAATGCTAAGTACATTTAGCGTTTAAATTATTTTTAATTCATTTTGTTTGTCTATTTCATAATTATAAATAAACCTTGTATGATTTTTGGTTTTTTGTTTAATCATTGGTCAGCAAACATGTTGTAACGATACATGAACTATACAGAATAACTTTTTTCTTGTTTGTTTTTATTAACTTTTCGTTAGCAATATGATTTAGTTTTTCCGACAGTAAATACTATGTTATTTAACGTATGCAAGTTATTCAAAAAATCAACTCTAGCAGCATGGCACAACACTGGTTAGTGTCGTACATGAAAACAACAGAAATGTTGATAAATCTTCTAATTCTAATTGCTTCTTGAAAATTTATGTTCAACTTAATTTCAACTCTCGGCCATTACAGAAACACTTTGATTCCTGTCTTTTCACATGTTACACAATAATTATACATGATTATCACATCACTGAGGTCTGTAGACCAATAACTGCATGACTTAGCTGAGGTATTTAGGCAGAACTCATTCGTAACTTGTTCGTTAAGGTCTGTTTGAACTAGCTGCCTAACATTACATCTGAGTTCGATATATGATCATGTAAAATGTTAGAGTTTGATATTTTCCTCGAGAGTTTTTAGTTGCTTTTTTTAGTCGATGAAAAGCAAAATTGATAAGAATCCATGAGAATTGATAAGAAAATCACGGTCCATCATGCATCTTTATTTCTAAATACTTTTTCAAAACAAAATAAAATCGGTTAAAGCAAAGAACCTCTCCTAGTATGTACGTCTTACATGGTATTTTATTCGTCATCATATTTCATTTATAACTGTTTGAGATTTTCTTACATTTTATTGATTTGTTTTTTTTTTGACGATGAAGACGAAAATCTTTATGATCATCAAGTGAAGATTAGTCAGGTAAGGTTGGTGATTCTTTAGTGGACTTGGGACTAGTAAGATGAATTTTATTTTTTTTAAATGGAAACATCGTCATTAATATTGTGTAGCAATAATATAAATAAAATTAATAAATACTTACGAAATGAACTCACGTGAAAATAGTTTTATAACCATCAAAGTTAGTTAAGTAAACGAGAAATATATTATTATAGGTTTAGTGTATGTAGATATCACAATGATTCACAGTTTGTTTATCATCAACGCTTCAATGTGAGTAGATGTGAGTAGATATGATATATATGATGGATGTATATGGGTTAATGTTTTTTATAGATCAAATTTCCTCTCTAGGCCCTTGTTGGTTTGTTAGTTTGCACCGATCATTTATGCAGTTTAGGAACTTGTGTTTGATTGCTGTGGATGGCAGACGTTTGTGGCTGTTCAAAAGACATCAGGCCATGGAAAAATAATAAGTTTTATTAACGACTGAAGAAAGTAACTGGGGACAAGTAAGATGAATATTTTGAATTTTTTTCAAATGGAAACATCTCTATTAATTGTTAGCAAAAATATAAATATTTACAAAATGAACTTAAATGAAAATAGTTTTATGCAGGTATTGGTTAATGGTTATAGATAAAATTTCCCCTTCAGGATCTTTTGTTGGTTTTTGTGCATATTAGCTTGTAATTATTCAAGTACGTAATTTATAATTAAATTTGAATGAGATATAGTGAGATAAGTTGCAGTATGATATTAAATGAAAGCTTGAACAAGGGCTACAAAGTGAAGGCTTATTTTTATTTGTGTTATCACCTGACATGATTAAGGCAATTATACTAAGATAAAATGAAAAATGCCATGACATTAAATAGTCCACTAAACGAATGTCCAAGGTTAGACAAAAATGATGTCATGGGTAATTGTGGGATATATTTCTGGAAAAACATTGGAGAAGTGTTTTAGGATTTGTTTGTGATTATTTCTTTGAAGCTCAAGGAAAAGTGAATGAATTTATGTATAAATTGTTGGTGATTGATATGAAGGTATCAAGCACTTGTGGTATATTGAAAATGAAGACTTATTTAGTTGAGAAATTTTAAGCATTTATTATGTGCTATTATTTTGTTTACCAGTAATTATGTCTAACTTTACTAAATCAAGTATTTGCTTATTTAGTTTCAGGCCCATTCTCCTGAACACATTCCTCTGTTGTGAAACAATACTTTGGAAAAGTTTGTGCCCTTGCTGGCCACAGTCGGCCAAAGATCATATTTTCACGTGAAGGTGCACCTGATTTTTGTATTATTGGAAAGAGAATTCCTTACATAAGCGTACCTAAAGCTATTTCTTACTAATAGTTTTTATTAACACATTATTTTGTTATGCAATCAAAAAACACCTCTACTATCTGCAATGGACAAGTTGTCAATCAATGAATTCAATGTTTCAAAATAGTAATATTGTTTAAACAGAATTTAAATACTAGGTCTTGAAGCATAGATAAATGGGATCAAACATAACTCATATTTCATCGCAATTGCCAGATGGTCACATAACATTTTCGAACTATTAAATTTATGTATACTAGAAAATTCTTATCCTGTGTTAAAGTGACTGCAACTCCACTTGTTTCAATCTTTTTGCGTCTCCTGTTTTACAGGCTTCCCACGTGTACGCAAGCGTACCTATTTTTGTTAATGTAATTTGTCAAATTCACAGAATGTCCGAAGTGTTTTCATGAGCAGTTGCAAGGTCAACAAAATGGTGACAGAAACGATAAAGTAAGGATTTTTTCTTGCTGCCCAAGCCATCATTCAGTATGATATAAAGAAAATTCCAGTTGAATAATTTAAGAAACAGTCCATTCATAAACAATTTGTGTTTTGCTATTGGTAGATTTACGCAAATTTTATTGGAATTAATGTTTATTTGTAATAACTGTTTATTTGTAGACGATACTTTTTTCAAACACATTTCAACTTTACGATTGTGAGTATACTGAAATGCAGTCATTTACGAAATCTGCTTAGAGAAATCTCCATAAAGCATGTTTTTCCAGCTATGATCTTTTGAATTTGAAATGCTACATTGTAAAAGAAATTATTATTTCTCTTAAGGTCACGAGCTGCAGAAGAAGGCATTCGTGCTATCAGACGGAAGCAAAAACGGTGAAGAAGAGGAGGCTGTTGAAACTTTTAAAGGTGAAAGAATTTTTACAAACATAGCTGTGACATGTTCTTTACTGGATAAAAACTACACGTTTCTATTCTAGATTGCATTTGTAAATTCTTTCAATATCCTAATAACCATTTTAAGAAAATTTCACGCGTCAAGCGTTTGATTCAATCGCCAATAGTTTGTATTGGGTTTTTCTATAAGATAGAAAGTCTGTCTGTTGGCGATTAAATCGAACTTCCAATGCCTAAATGAAAAACTCTTAACATTTTGTTATTACTTTAATACAAAACAAAAGACTTCACAAATTCAATTTAGTTTTTTTGAGCGTAACAGTCTTTAATTCCATGTACAAATCTCCAATTTCTGTTTTTAACACATATCTTTCAGTCTCTTATTAGTTACTGTTAAAAAAAATAATTTTGAACATTTACCAGGAAAAATTCGATTAGAATGATGATAGGAAAACAAAAATAGACAAATTCTCGGTATCGCTAGTATCGAATGAACAAAGATCTTTTTCTTGTTATTTTAAATAATTGCATCTTAAATAGTTATGCAATGAAGTGTGTCATTGACACGCGTAATATCATTTACCATTTGAACATTTACCAGGAAGAATTTGATTAGAATGATAATAGGAAAATAAAAATAGACAAATTCTCGGTATCGCTTGTATCGAATGAACAAAGATCTTTTTCTTGTTATTTTAAATATTTTCATCTTAAATAGTTATGCAATGAAGTGTGTCATTGACACGCGTAATATCACGTTTTTCAATGAATTCTTGCATTTTAGATGAACGGACTACTCTAAATTCTAATACTGTATATCTTACATGCCAATACCCTTAACCTTTTTTCTTCTCATTAGGTGTTGCATGGTAGCGCCTAGTTTGATTCGGTTGTCCAAATTTAGAATCTCCTGTGTTTTTTTTTAAATCTAGTCGACTGCAATCAATGGTTAATCACAAACATTAAACAGTTATACTATAAAACGTTTCATTTGCTGTGATTACAATAAACGGATTGTGTTTTGATTTATGCTTTTAAATATCTTGGTAGAGATTTGTACGGAAAAAAGTAACTTTTTTGTGATTTTGTTGTTTTGTTGGGTAATCATAATTCTTAGAATCTGTGAATGATAAGCTTTCCCCTTAGATGTAGTTACTTTGCTACCATTATGATAAATATTTTTGTTTCGACAATAATTTGTAAAAAAACACCCTTATTTGGCGTGCATCAAATGATTATCGTAGATTTTTGACGATTAACTTTATACAGTTGGATGTTTTAAAACATTGATACAAGTAACATTTAACAAGGATGAGTACAATTTATGAAAATTTTCTTCCTGCGTATGTCTAATTTTTATAAATTTTCATCTATGTTAAGGTTAATAATCACGGAAAGTTGCTTTGTTGACGTACGGCGTTGAATGTTATGATGTTATATGTAATTTAAACGCCTTAATGATTGAATATTAAAACTCTGCAAGCATTCTATTTTAATCTTTTCATTTCAACGAGTGAGAAAGACAAAGATTTGATAAATATGTATTTATGATTGTAGAATTTCCTAAGTTCGATATTCACCTTGGATAATACAGAATTTGTAGAGTTGCCTTCAACGAATGAAAAGTTACTTCATGGATGACGGTAAGTTATATACAATCAAATTTATGCGAGACCCTCGTAAATTGTGTGTAAGCTATACATGCAAAAATATGGATATATTTTCCAACATTTTATCGTAGAACATACATACACTTTATTGATCTTTTACCTCGATAATTTTCGTCTAGAGATTTTATGTCTTTATGCACCAACTATAGATATATCTTTAAGGTTTTTTCTGAGTCGAATTTTATTGACTAAAATACTGTCACACGTTTGGTGACTTTTCAATTGACAGAACGTTACGAGTCTAAAGGTGAAGGAACGGAATATTACCCCGACTATGAAAGTAAGTTATACTATCAAATTTATGTATAAGGCACTTATAAATTGTATCTGCCATACGAAGTGATATACTTTCTAACATTCAACATATAATTCTTGATTATGCTTTTCCTTGTTATCTCGTCATCTCAGGATATTTTACGTCTCCTTGCGCCCAATATTTTTAAGCATTTTCGGTTCCAAATCCCTTCATGAGATTGTTTGTGTAAGATAATAATAATATCCATAATAACTATAAAAATAGCTTAAGAAGCATTTGTGCAAACTGGACGATTTTCCAAAGCTATAGTTTACAAAGTTTAGGTGTTGAACAACACAAAATAAGTCAGTTTTAAGTTAATGTCGTCATCAAAAAAGAGCTTTTGACAATTCAGATGAACCTTCGGCATACAAGTTTCAGGCACCGCGGAGGAGAGATAATTGGGGGGGGCTCATATTCATATATTCATGTTATAATTCTTAAAAAACAATGGATTTCGAAAGATCCTAAGCCTGCAAATATGAATAAACGAATATTAGCCCCCAATTATCGATCCTCCGTGGTGCCTGTTTATTATATGTTCCTTGTCATTTTGAGCAAAAACGCGACAGAGTGTTGGATATGAATAGGTCAAAATATTGTATCATTCTGATTACAAATTGTACTACAATGCGAAATAATATTGGTTAATTTTGGTGAATCTCAGCAGAAACAGATCCGTCCGCCATTTTTTCTGATCCGTTCCGCCGTTCAGTGGTTTTATTTGTTTGAATTTTGTTTCATGAAATAAATTTAGAGGAGTTTGTAAGGATACGTTGTGGCGGCGCCCATATGCCTTCTGGTAGTGGTGTCTCCCTTAAATCGTTCATGGGGTATTCCCCCCTGTCTGTACCCCAGCAAGAACGCCAATGGTTCGGTGTTTCATAGATATACATAGGATTGATACATAGGCGTAGGAACAGATTTAAATTTGCGAGTGGAGTTAAAGTCGACGAGTATAGTATATACTCCACCCTTACTTTTTGAAGCTTTAGGGAGTCTAGTACAAACATTTAAAATGGAGAAAGTCATGAAACCTTTATAATTTAGTTGTACTTTATTACAATACACAAAGTGCAAGTATTGTTCAAAAATCAATACATTGCACAAAACGAACGAATTTAACTAATAGCCTAAAGGATTGGTCGTACTATTTGCAAGCTACGAATTCTAGTTCAATGTCAGACTAAGATGTTTTCACTCTCTGAAGAGTTAAAAATGAACCTTTGTTGTATGTATTAAATGGGTACAAAGAAGTTTATGAGCTTTACTACACAAAGAAGGACGTACGTTTTCATAATGTCGCTTATCGTGCTAATTCAAGTGATATCCATAATTCGCATTTGATCTTAGCATAAATTTTGCTCGTTTGCGGTCTTTACTAAATTTGACAGTATTGATATTGTTATCCTTCTTAAGTCAATTTCTAGTTCGTTCTTGAACTTTCTGTAGTCTGTGTGATGGGTACATAACATAAAACCCCTATATGCACCTATCACAAGTTCAATATTTGCCTAAGATCAAAATTTATTAGTCAAACCTGAGCTCCAGTTCATATCAAATACTGCTATCCGCGTGCAACACTGCATACTTTTTTTTAAAAAAGGCATCGATCGCTGCGGTTCTGACAGTAGAACCTGGTCTCGCTCAAAGATTTTATGGTAGATTAAAGTGAGCCACTTCAGCCATTTGTCAACCTAAAGGACAAGAATGAGCCACACAATATACCAATACAGCCTTCGGTTCTTTTTCTTTGAATTGGGTCTAGTAACTGCATTCAGATGTCGAGTCATATAGGTATTTGCTGCCCCATCATGTGTTTGTTTATGACTGTTCATGTCAGGGGAAGGTTACACGAATAAGGATGTATACAGTATTTTATCAAAAGTTCTCAAAGACGTGTTCCTTTCGAGGTATTTTGGCATTGTGTGGTTTATCTATAAAAATAATAAGATGGTAAACTTACCAGAACGCTCATTTTATACACGTTGCGTGTAATACACAACAGAATTTAAACTTTCAACTTTTCGAGTTGAATTAGATTTTTAATTTCTCATTTTTTGCGCAAGCGTTTGCATACTGCTCTCCCGCTTTTCAAGATTAAATTTTTGCTTTTAGATAAACAATGCGATGCGAAAATACTTAGACGTGGACACATTTTGAGAAATTTTGATGTAAAGATAATTTTCTTGTCATTTAAAAATGTTCTAATTTTTTTGTACAACTTGTGAATTGTTGATATCTTACAGTTCATGGTTGTCTGCTCTCTAATTAAACATCCTACACATCTATGGGGCGCCAAATGTGTTTTTATTATTTTTCATGATTTATTTAATTATATATGATAATTGCATTTAGTAGTTTAGTAGTTTGCTTATTTCAAATAACCAGTTTTGTGACAACGTGCTTTAAGTTTATTATATGAAATAACCAGTTTTACTTCCTTTGATAAAATTTGGTTACATCAAACAACCACCTTTCGCGAAATGGTTATATCAAATAACCAAAATAATTTTGATACACTTGGCGAAGCAAAAAAAGTGAAAACATGATAAGTCCACTCCCCCCTTCGGATTTTTATGTCTTCCGAGAGGTAGCAGTTTTTTCCAACCGAATTTCTATGCGTGCTTTGTGTTTGGTGAACTCTCTAATCGACGATGGTTTCACACAAAGGAAGGATTTTGGTTTTCAATGAATTCCGCCGATTCCTCCGAAAGGCTTGCAACATCATTGACTGATGTTATAGGGCGAGCCATTTGTGAAACTAATCAAACTATTACGAACTCTGCCGAGGTAAGCAGTACATTTGAATAAGTATTTTTCCATTATCTATTATGTATGATGTTGGGAAAGGAAGAAATAAATGCGCATGGTCTTTGGCAATTAAATCAAACTCTGTGTATAAAGTATCAGGTATTGCTTGTTGATTTCCTACAATTTCCATAATGGCGATAATGGAAAAATACCTATTCAAATGTGCTGCTTACCTTGGCAGAGTTCGTAATAGTTTCACGAACGGCTTGCACTATAACATCAGAGAAATATTTATATAATTATTCTTTTACCGAATTAAATATTCTCCATTGTAAGAATGAAAATCCATAATTATGTTATGCTTGAAATATGGAGTATATCTGAAACAATTGAACTTTTTGCAAATACATGTATTCTTAAAAAAAGTGGTTGTTGAGCAGAACATTGTTTTATGAAAATCTTTGCTGTTAGTAAAACAGCATTGGAGCTTTTTATTTTTATATTTTCTACTACATGTCTTAGGTCATCTTACACAACGTTTTGAAATGCTTTTAGATCCATTCAATTTCAGACATCTCATCGGTATAGAAACAATCTTCACTTGGCATAAAGTCTTTTAGTTGTTTATCTCTTTGAAGACTTCTCATATTCTTTGTTTCGTATGGTCATGCAATATCCTTATCTATGATGATAAGAATTATTTATAAATAAAATAATGGAACGGTGTAATAAAGAAGATATTATTTTTATTGTACTTGCATGCTGAAAACAATTGTTTTGTGTTGATGATTTATGAATATATTTTGAGATATTCTCACCTAGGCTTAGTTCACTACCAAAGTTTATTCATCATTACCAATAATGATATTTTACTATAATGCGGTTATGAATTGTTTTGAAACAAAACTACTGACAGTGGCGTAGCTAGGAAAAATAGTCACTCCCGCCAATCCATCTTCGCGCCGAAAGCTGACTAACTAGGGGTCAAAGCATGCTCCCGGAAAATTTTGAAACTAGAGCCTTGGAAACAGCATTCCTGCGATTTCGAGGGCAATTATTTGTTGTACAATAATTTATAAAACCCATTTTGTTAGCTGCATTCTTAATGTAGCAATCGCTGAAACTGCAACTAGCGTGGTACTAAAGGTGGGTTTCTAGAGAACGTTACGCAGGAGACAATTGTCCCCAAAACATAATTTACTCATCACTGCCCCTGCATAACCAGAAAATTTGTATTAGCACAAAATAATATAGTATACGACACTTCTCTAAAGTATAGAGAGATAGATTTTTCTAGTATTCTACTTGTTAGTTTAAACTTGTTTAGATTAAAAGTAGACAGGGATGTATTTTATTCTATGTGTTATGCTTTACTTTTTCAATGAAGTACCATGTATTATACGAACAAATATCAAAACACATACTATACTCATCATTTATAAAGAAAGGCCCCTCCTGGGTTTTTCTACAAATTTTTCAACCACCTCGTTATGCAACACTTCTGATTCCTCTTTCTTTCAATGATATCTTGTGAATAGATATTCTACACAAAGAGCTAAGCGACCTTTGACCTATCTCTTCTATTTCTTAAATAGCTTTTACCCTTTTTAAGCAAGAGAACGACCTCTCTACTGAAGCACTTGCCACTGCCAACACACCATTCAATTTTAACAAATTTACTACCTGACCTAAACTCTGACTGGAGATTAAATTTGAAGATGTATTTAAGAACCTCATTACTGCACTTTGTGAAAGTCCTTTGTCGTTGTAAATGAAGAAAGTTGACTTTCTCCCTAAGCTTGATGTCAAAAAAGAGGACTATATTTATCTTTGAGAAGATTGATCTTCCTGTGGAACTATGCCTTCCATGCAGTAAATAGTTTAGGATTTACAAGGTCTAAAACTCGAACTCATTTAATATCTTGAAATCGTTCATAACATGCCTTTTAATGGAACTAAATAATCTCAAAAATAAAGCTGTTTGTAATTGTATCTACTATCTGCTCCAGTGGGCCTACTTTTCTAGTGCAGTTTGGTAAAACCTAAGCTTGATCTGTGCTATGACACAATAAATGCTTGAAAATTGTCAATCTTGCTTATGCCATAGTTAAAATGGGTTTCATTTTGAAGAATGGACAAAATTGTGGACTGTCTCTAAAATCCATGTAAAAACACACACTAGAAAAACAAAAGAGAAAGCCATCAATAAATGTCACCATGAAATTTAATTGACTCATATCATCCCACTCCAGCTGGTTGTTCAAGCACTCCCTCAAAAATATCTAAAGTTTTTCATAGTTTTTGTGTAATACATTGATTAATCTAGAGCGATAATACCATCTTGTTTCACCAGGGGCAGGAAATCAAGGTTGTTAGATGTGAGAAAAAGCTTTTCTTTTGGGCATTGCTTGTAAATGTGCTGAATGTAGCTTAATAAAAAAAGATTTTAACAGGAGAAATTGATGAGTTTGACCTTACAGACCAGGTTCAATCTATGAGCTGCACAATGAACAAAATGAGCAAAGGATACTCTTAGCTCTAACTACTGAACACCATTAATATGGCCAGACATGACAGAAGCACCATCATATGTTTTAAAACCAGTTTTTCTTTATATTAGAATACTCAACAAGTTTACCTGACAATCCTGGATATTGCCGCATTTCTGTTCATACTCCATATCCACAAATCCTAATTGCCTCTCATGATTTCACTTGCTTTGTCAAACCGAAAGCAATAACACTTAGCTGCTCTTTGGTGGAGACATCAGATGCTTCATCAACCTGACTCATAAATGTGCAATCATTTATTTCCTTTCTGATTTCATCTTCACAATTGTGAATCAGACAGCTGATAAGACCATTTTGAATTTCAGAGACTCAGTAAATCTTCTGTCACCAACTATATCAGATTCTGCTAGTCTACTGTGCAGTCGACGCTCAAATACAGAATCAAACTTAGCAAAACATTCGAGCAACTCTCTATAACTACTTGTCTGGCTACCTTCGGACTCATTGTGACCTCTAAAATGGCAACTCTTGCTTTGACAAATACAGCACGGCCCCAGTAACAGTTTTAAATTTCTCGATTTTGTTCCCTCCTCATTGTGACGCTGAATTCATTTCTTCTAGCGAGGGACATAAGACAATCAATTCAAGAAAACTAGCTCCATACGTTTTCCATGTTCCTAAATGCAGTCAAATGCGATTTAGATTTTCATGCTTCTTAGCATCAGACATAATACTCCGCATATCGTTGTAGCCATTCTTAGTCCACGATGGCGATGTTTTGGGGAAAACATTAGACATGCCATACAAAACACTTTCTGCAAGGTTGTACTGCCACACAGCCAGTCCTTCGCCTCATACCAATCTTCTCTGAAAATGCTTTCCCTTATTTTGGATAGTTAAATCAGGAGTAGGCCGTTCATGAATGATAACATTCTGTCGACTGACGATAGAGAGAGAGGTTTAGCTAATAAGTTATTTACTAAATCAACATCAGTTGAGCAAATCGCAGTCGTACTTGAAGCCATTGTGTCATACACAAATACAAAATAGCAATTTGAGAGTAAACACAATGGAAAATTAATAAGACAATGACAGGTAATTTGATAATCACTAATCGCTGTACTTGTATTAAGGTCAAATAATACAACTCCGCCAATTTAAAATAGCGGGAGTTCGACTATAAAACAGCAGATTTGGAGCATGCGTCAAGTCCCTTAGCCAACCAGAATTCAAAACTTCTTATATAGAATTATATTGTATGTTCCGCCCTCTGAAGATGGGCGGAATACGTGGAGAATTTGCGCGAGTATGCAATGCGAGAAAAGGCGGTTGCTAGGTTACATAACAAATCTTGAGATTTTGCTGTATTACGATTACGAAATACGAACCACCTAATAAAGCGTAAATATGAACGAATAAAACATAATATTGCAAATTGTTCGTGAAATAATGTATATCTTATGTCCAAATAGAATATTTATTGTTTTTGGGAATTTCATCTCTGCCGGGGAGTAGCGGGACCGCTAGCTACGCCACTGACTACTGAAGCTACGACGTTTTGCAGGTTGGTATAATAATACAGAATAATGATTAATGATGACTGTTAGTGGTTGTTTTTGCATGGGTTGCTAATCAGTTAATCACTATGACTATGTAGGAAGCAATGATGTAAATGTACATTTGTACAACTGAAATGTAATTAATTGATAGATTTTGCACTTTTCTTTCATTATTATATATGTATATCTGCAAAGTTATGATAATGGCGGTATATACAATTCTTCGATTCCACTAACCTGTCTTGTGTAAAGCTAAACGATTGGTTGTAAAATACAGTATTTGTATTTATTTACACGTAACAATTATAATATAGGCATTACGCTTTTTAGGCATCGATGACAAACTTTATGTATAGCGCTGATGATGCTTTACAGGACATTACATACTGTATTATCAGTCCTATATCATAAAGTGCAAAATTAAAGTTAGAAGGCTGACCTAAAGTTTTTACAATAATAGTAAAAATGAAAATGTATACAGCTGCGTAGAAACTCATATTATGGTTATGCTGTATTTGCGGTATACTAATTTGGACAAAGTTTGTGTACCTAAGTTCATCATTTTACTTGTGCTAAATAAATACAAAACAATTGCACTTATATAACCTCGATGAATGCAACGATTTTTCACCTCATGATGATAATTTTACAATTGTACGAAAAAGAACGTTCACTATTCTCACTTATAAGTTTCATTCCTTTGCGTAAGAACTAATTTATTAACGTTAATGCGCTTGGAAATGTTTTCTACGTTGCATTGTGTTCACAACCATCAGTTACTCCCATCTCTATGCTACTTTAATGCATTCAGGGCAGTTAAGAAGTGGGAGGACAGAGCAATTTGCCCCCCCCACGCCCCCGTGTTAAGGGTTCCCCAAATAAAAAAACAACGTAAACCAAAATGTAATGCGTGTCCATATTGTTAGGTTTTGCGATGTAGCCATCTATCTTTAGTATATATAGACTTACACCAACAAGTAGAGATATCACAAATAACTATTATGATCACATTTAATATTCAACGTCAATGTCTATGGTCTACGATCTATCGTACAATGGTTAAACTACTTCTATTTATACAAGATATTACATATGGATATATTTGTTTCTTTACTAAAAATGGTTAATTTACATTCAACGGAAAGCTATTAGGAACTATAAAAAATATTGTGATTATTGCACATGAGTATCTCTTAAAGTAATCATTTAGTTAGTTACACTTGACTTAATTATTTACTAATTACAGGAAGAATATGAGAGCATATCTTAACACATATGTCACGGAGAAGAGGCAACGTAATTAAATTGCTTCCCAGGCCTCTTATTTCTCTAAGCGGCCCTGAACGTATTTTTTATTGTTGCTACAGGTTATTAATGTTTTCAAATTCTTTGTTTATCTTTTTCTTATGACAGATAAACAACTGTGCGACATGCCATCAATTATGTCGCCTGATGTATCTTCTTTACCTAAAATCAACTCACGTCTTCATATTATGTTGCAAAACCAGTGCTGTAGAACTAAATTTATTAGATGGTGGGGCTCTCTTGACGTTTTTGTCAATAGTGCCTTTTAAAATTACCCATTTCAATGGTATAAGGGGGCTCCTCCCCCAATCGCCCTCCTTCTACACCAGCAAATGACATGTGTTATGACATTTTCTTCTCTAAGTTCTCCTTGAAAGAAAACTACAAGCTGGAACTTACACAGGTGTATAAAAGGAATAAAGAAAACTTATGAAACTGGAATGTACAAGGGTGAATGGAATAGTGGAACTTAGTGAGGAATGGACATGGAATGGGTGAAAATGGTTGGAACTTACATGAACTGGAATGAAGGAAACAGGGTATAAAAAAACTGAACAGTTAGGAAAACTTACACACAGGGTGTATTAAAAAAACTGGACAGTTAGGAAAACTGTTCAGTTTTAAATACTGCATTATAATTAACATTATAAGTTTACAGATTGGTAATCCAGGCATGTTTCATTGTGGAAAAGTAAAGGTTTCTCAGGATTTTTGAAAATTTATTCTATTGAGCTTTCGACTTGGTTCTTATGAAGGCTCGAAGAACGCTCAATAAAATAAATTTTCAAAAGTCCGGAGAAACCTTTACTTTTCTACAATTAACATTATATGTTTATAGTCGTTCGTTACCAAAATATATGATGTGGATTTGCCAGTGCCAAAGCTTTCCTAGTTTTGTATGAAGGAAAGCTTGAACAAAGGGAAGGTATAAGGAAGTTATCATGTGACATGATTAATGCACAGATAAAATGAAAAATCTCATGAGAATTGTGTGATATTCGCTGGTGTTGGTAATTTTAAAAGTTTTGACATCAGAAAGGTGTTACCAAGTGTCATTTGAATGCAATAGTTTCAGTCTCCTCAATCATTTATTTATCGCAACATTATTGTCCACTAAAAATGGTGACTGTATGTCATATGATGTTTTTCATGTATATTTCGGGATATATTTCAGGAAAAGAATTGGAGAAGTGTTTTAGGATGCTCTGTTTGTGATTATATCTTTAAAGCTCAAGGAAAGGTGAATGGTTTATATGTAAATTGTTGGTGATTGACATCATACACTTGTGATATATTGAGGACTATTTATATAGTTGATCAGTTTTAAGCATGTATCATGTGCCAATATATATTTGTCAAACAATAACTGCACTTTACTTTCTTAAATCAAGTATTTGCTAATTTCAGGTCAGTTTTCTTGAAGACATTCCTGTCATTGCAACATGATTTGGTTATTTCAACTGTATATTTTGTCATATTTCGTCATTGTTTATGTTGTTGAAAATGAAGGTTTGTGTTTAAATTTATCAATGATGAACTGTTATTGCAACAATGTTTTTTGTGGGGCAACTGTCATTGATCAAAACAGACTTTTGTCAGTTTTTGAATATGAATGCACTGCTCATGTATGTACTGTCTTCACTTTACTAAAGGCATGGTATTGTTTTGTGATAAACTAGGCTGAAAGGCCATTTAAGACTGGTCACGAGTGTCAGGGTGTGAAATTGTGAATTAAGGTTGAAAAGTGAATTGCAATTTTCGTTACAAGTTTGTTGAACTATCACCCTGAAATGAGAAACATACCTTGTTTCTTGTTTCTGGTATGTTGTTTTGTTTCATATCTTGCTGGACAATAGTCATAATACAGGATTGATGTAACTAAAAACAAACATTTCAAAATTGACAAAGTAGAACATTTATTATAGCTGTTAAATGTTCATGAAAGCATGAAAATATTTTCAAACTCTTAAACACTTCATGTTACGTTTGGTTAGTTATTATAGTTCACACTTGTCATCAGTATCTTTATGTTCTATGTAATTCCGACATACTCAGTTTGGTTATGTCAATTGCACTATGCACCATCTTTAATTTTCTGAATGTTTGAAACTTTGTCGACTCTGTTTGCTTTGACTTTAAAGCATTTTACTACGACAGGTAGACACAAGAACAGGGAAATTTTTTCCAATTCTAAAAATCATGAAAAAACCACGACTTCTTACAGTTTTTAAGATGAAAATAATAAAATTAAAATTATAGCGTGTTGATGAGATTTAAAAATTTAGATAAAATATAAAGTTTTTTAGATTTTTGTATTTACCGCGTGTTTAGTGCATCGTAAGTGGTCGAAAGTGATTTTAGGAATTGCGACATGTCAATTCATATCCTCATGATTAGAGTATAAGAATTAAGTACTGGGTGATTCTGCCGTCGCTTGTGCGACATTTACACTGTGATTCTATAGTTATTCCCGACTTAAAGCTTAGACAAAAATAAATGCATTACAAATTAACACACTGTGGAAAAATATTTGGCTTTTAATATTCATGTACATTTTATATGTTGGTGATATTAGTCAAATCATATCTGAATGTAAATTTTAGACCTTCAAAATAGAAATAATTTCTTTTGCAGACAATTTTCAAGGAAAAAGCCTCAACATGGTGAACATAAACATCAAAAAACTGACTTATGAAATATCTCGAGTAGGATGTGTTCGCTGTTAAATTCTGTGAAATTAAAGGTATTTTGATAAGCCTTGAGACAAACACTAATAAAGACGATATCAGTCACTATAGAAGATTTTATTATTGTCGTTGGCTCCATCAATGCAGCAATCTTTACTCAATAAAACCCATGTTGCGAATCGTGAAGGTGGAAAAATTTCATTTTAGGCCATGTAGGCTGTTGAAACTTCGTTTTCTTTAAATAAAGTTTGAAGGATATTTGCGATTATGAAAGATCAAATCTGCAACACAAACTTAAAGATGCTCAAAGTTACTTTACAACTTTAGTACTTAACCATCACTTAGTTTATATTTCTTTTGATAACGTAAATGTTTTACATTATTTCTCAGCTTAAACTTTATCGTTTCGTGTAGGTGACGTAGCTAATTTTTTTTCCCGATGACGTGTATTTAACGAGGACCATGTTGTGAAATGTACGCCTAACCTGGAGTTTCATGAAAACAAAAAAACAGGAAAGCAACGATGGAAACATTGATGATAATTATGGAGGATATGTGAATTTAAGGACCAATGTTCCATGACTTAAAGAAAGAGTTTACAGCCAATAAACACACTGTTGAGAAGGTGTACTATGTTGGTCAACATGGTTATGATGTGTTTAATGTTCAAAACCAACAACTGTTCTTACTGTGAGAACTTTTGATCTACTAAGAAAGTCGAACTATTACAGGTCAGTACTTGTACATCAAACTTTAAACATTAAACTAGACTTTGCTGAATTCTTATTTTTATGTGAAAATCTTCCACCGTTCGGCGTACATGTTGTTTTTCCTTAACAAAGGAAATATGAAATGATTTCATCGTCTATTAACGATAACTATTATGGTTAATAATCTTGTTTCGTAGTTTCGTACTGCGTATGTATGAAATGACTTTTCATTTTTCTTGCCGGTGTCCGAAGCCTGATGTGTGAGTCTGCAAATCTAAACCTTTAATTCAAAGATCGAAAACTTTCACTAAAAATTTATCAGAAAATGCTTCGTTTCGAATCGGCAAATTTCGTGTTTCTATCCACTTTTCTTGAACATGGATGAATGTGCAATATTGCAAAGAATATGGCTACTTTCACATTTTGAAGACTGAAAAAAGGATATCTTTTCTACGTTAATATTTACTTGTTGAATTGAGTCTCCACAATGAATGCGCGGAATAATAAAGGAGAATTTAAGATCTGTTTCTGCTTGGCACTGCTATTGGTTTATCTGTTTTTCAAACTTTAATGTTCTTTTTTTAGAGAGAATTATTTCAAGATATTTTTTCGAGAGGTAAGTTGTTAACACAATTTTGTTTAAGATTCTGTAGAAAATATTGAAAACTGTAGTCTATATTACACCGGCTGAAAAGAAAATGGTGGTCACATCCCAGATGTTTGGCAATTGCTACCAACTCTATAATCACCGTTATCGTAACTGCGTAAAAGCACCATTGATAAAGCGCATTTATTAAAAACAATAATTTTTTTTTGATAAACATGTTTTAACATCTCATGATCATCAACAACCTGTTGTTGCTGTGAGAACATTTGATCATCCAGGAAAGTCGAATTATTACAGGTCAGTTGCACTACCGTAGGTCAGCAATACTATTATAGGTCAGTTGTACTACCACAGGTCAGTTATACTATTACAGGTCAGTTGTACTACCACAGGGCAGTTATACTATTACAGGTGAGTTGTACTACCACAGGTCAGTTATACTATTACAGGTCAGTTCTACTACCACAGGGCAGTTATACTATTACAGGTCAGTTGTACTACCACAGGGCAGTTATACTATTACAGGTCAGTTGTACTACCACAGAGCAGTTATACTATTACAGGTCAGTTCTACTACCACAGGGCAGTTATACTATTACAGGTCAGTTGTACTACCACAGAGCAGTTATACTATTATAGATCAGTTGTACTACCACAGGGCAGTTATACTATTACAGGTCAGTTGTACTACCACAGAGCAGTTATACTATTACAGATCAGTTGTACTATAAGTCAATTTTACACGTAATCCTACTCTGACATTTATTCACTTCCAATGACTTACTATGCTTAATTTTATCAAACACACACGTTGCCTTCTCCTTTGGTTTTTAAAATTTCTAAAATTACCATTGCTCTTTGTAGACAAAGGAGATCGTTGCCAAGAAACCACTCAAGACTGAACTACAAAAAATCTTTTAAATCTTCGACGACTCGCAGACGAAAACCTTTACCATCTTCCTGGACAATAAACCTTCGAAATTCGCCGTCAAGACATGAAAATTATAAATGTGTTCACTCTTATTACTTACCACCTAGAAGAAAAGCCAAATATCAAGGCTCAACTCGTACACAAGATTACATGAATCACGAAATGAAAGTTTGTGAAGCTAAAAGTCATGGTTCTGGTAATAGTAAAAGATACATTGTTGAAAACCTTTCAAAACTATCCCATGCTAAAAATGCTAAAACCTCGACTTATTACAAAATTTCTGGTCGATCACAACTCAGCTCACATTCGGATGCGTCAGAAGTAGATTATAAATCATCGCCTGTCCTTCACGACCAAATTAAGGATCAAAATTTTCAAGCAATTTATTCCGACAAAAAGTGGGAAGAGAAATCACATAACCCAGAAATCATGTCCATTGTCAGTGGCAGTGAGTTTTCTGAATTCTTACCCACTCCTCCACGGCCAAGCGACAGCCAATCACATATCTCTACGGATGGATATTCCCGTGGTAGTTACAAATCATTTAAAAACAAACTTGAAAGAAACGTTAAAGAAAACAGGGAGGTTGTTGTTGAAGACAGAAGTCAATCAGATCAAGAAAAACATAATGAATCATTTGAAGAAACTTTAGAGGTGTTTATATGTAAAATAAAGTAAATGTATTTGATGTTTCATTTGTTTGTCCTTGCACTGCTATGGGTCTATTCTATTTACTTAACTTAAGTTTCAAAAATCTTTCACATCATTGCTTTATATTGTCTTCTATCATACAACATTTTCTATTTTCTATAAACAGCGTTTACGATATGGTGAGACGCGTGAGAGGAATGGAAACGAAAGCAGAAAAAACGTCGGTTCATTTAATAAAGAGACGAGCAGTTGGTCGTGGACTCATAATGACAGCGGTTTTAGAAAGAAACATCATGTGCCAATAAATGGTGTGCAAGTCCTACCACTAGAACCAGTTTTTATTCAGTTTGAAAATAGCGACGAGGAGAAAGAAAATTGAAGTTGAATGATTTATTAACAAGCTATTTTAGACTTATAAATGGTTCACTTTATATGGTGAATTTACTATCTATGTAATATCTTTCTATTTATTTTTCATACATTTGAAGGACATTTAAATCCACAAATTATTCATTCTCCCCCCTCCCCCCCATGGAGAACATAAAGCATTTTTTCAAAAAAAATGTACTTCCTACTGTTATTTTGAAATTTCTACATTGTTAAAATAATCTTTTTTATGACGACATTGCAATCAAGGCGTTATTATTGATGTTTCTTACCTGACGGAAAACGTTATAGAAATACACTTGTTGAAATACCTATTGGAGACTGTGATCGGAGATCAGTGGCTTATCTGTAAGTTTACCTGACTTTGTTGTATTGTATTCTTTACATGATTAAAGGCTGATATTCTTTAAAAATACTTGAGTTTGTGATTTTTTTTATGGTGTATATATTAACAACGTTAAGAAAATTATATTGCGTCAGACGTTAATTTTCATTGCCGAAAGTTTGTTTATGTAACTTATTTATATCTCCCTTTACAAATACTCCGATTTAATGTAGAAGTAAAGGTTTTCTATCCATCACGCAAAAAACATAAAGTTTGTAGGCAGTAACTATACGGACTAAAACAATTCTATAACATTAGAGTGTTTTTTTTTGCTGCGTTTTTAATCACAACTAAACTTCATACATACAGAATCTCGACAGTGTTATATTTAACGTTTTCACGAAGCTTTAGCTTTGTTAGCGTGTATACTTTCTCTTCTTCATGACAATTTTATGAACTACGTTGGCGGAAGTGGACACGCAAGCAAATTGTATTATGAGGAATATAATTCTTGAGAAAACTGTTCTTGGTGTTGTCTAAATTAATTTTTTCATTTATGATATGTATATAAACCATTTTGCATTGATATTTTAAATATTGTCATTCGTGAACATTTTCATAAAATGATTTAACAAGAAGCGATTGCTTGTCTTCGATTAGCTCATCGTACATTCCATTTTCAATATTTTGGCGGTGGAGAGCGCATAGTTTCAGTCTAATGTATGTTTTAAAGAGTAGCAATATTCCTATAGTCTTTGTGAACGTTAAGTAAATTACAACGATTGCAAACATTGAGGATTATCGTTGATTGACTTCATATATACGTTAATGTTTGAAAAACGAAAGAAATAAAACTTACCGGTTCATTAAATGCACCATGCTAAGCAAAACAAGAATGATGAGAATTTTAAAATGACTTGTTCTCTCGCAGTCGGATATGAATGCAATATGAATACGATAAAAATAATTTATGTTTTTATTAATTATCTTTTCTTTTATGGCAAAGAAATGTATTGCAACGCAGCTTTCAATAGATTTTACACTGTCTTAAAGTTTTTGTTTGAAGTAAATTGATTTAATCTTTATCTCTAACATCTGCATTCTTCAAAAATTATCATTTTCCTATCCAAGTAAAAACATCTTTCTTTTACTGCTGGGATAATGACGATATTGAAAATCATATTTATCGTTCAAATGATCATGACGTTTCTAAATTGTTGTTAAGTTTCGATTGTTTTCATAAAGTTGGCAAGTCTTTGAACAAGCATGGTTTGTTGAAAATAATGTTAAGTGTGTGTTGTTTTTATACACTTACAGGAAAATTGTGCCGTCTAAAGTTGGCAATTTTTTGAACTAGCATGGTTTATTGAAAAAAACAAAGATTGACATCAGTGGCTTAGCTAGACTAAAACAACTAGTCGTGCTGTTGCGATTGTAAACATGAATTACTAAAATGATTGGTGCTAACATAAGTCGGTGTTGCCATTATGGTTGATGCACTCCGAGATATTTTAAAATCGATCACATCTAAATTCTCAAAATTTTTTGAACTAGCATGGTTTATTGAAAAAAACAAAGATTGACATTTACTAATTCATATGTTTTCGTGTAGAAGTCTTGCTATCACAAACAAAATTTTAATTTTTTAACATTAAAATGGTACTGTTCATTCTGATATCTTTTAAGATTTCTCCAGTTTTTCTGTGAACGCAAATAAATGTCTGTTTGTTCGTTCACAGAATTAAAGACTCGACATTTTCATAGCATTCTGTGACTCCACAAACTCGACAAATACAAAATGGATACGAAAGACTCGAGCATTTCAGAAATGATCGTCAAAGACTCGGGAATTTTGGAAATTGGCACCAAGGACTCGGGAATTTCGGAAATTGGCACCAAGGACTCGGGAATTTCGGAAATTGGCACCAAAGACTCGGGAATTTTGGAAATTGGCACCAAGGACTCGGGAATTTCGGAAATTGGCACCAAGGACTCGGGAATTTCGGAAATTGGCACCAAGGACTCGGGAATTTCGGAAATTGGCACCAAAGACTCGGGAATTTCAAAAGGTAACGCAAAAACACTCTATTATTTAATTTAATAGGTAAATTATATTGCCGACACTTCACGACACTATTTATTCGTGTATCATAATATGAACATTCTTTTGTCAATAGTCTGTAACTGATGTTCATTTCGTGGAGATTGATAACATTTACTTAACTGAAGCCAAAATTATTTTCAATGTATACATTCATGTGCTACATTGTAATTTTGTTTTGTACCTTTCAATTGATTTTACCACATGCAGTTTTCTGTTATCCCAGTCCATCTGTCTCTACAGTTCTAAATAAAGTCACAGTAGTCATGAATATTTTTACGCTCGATTTTATATAATTGTAGTCAGAGAACTCAGAATACGATATGACTAATTTATGTTTGTATTAATTATCTCTTCTGTTAATTTGTCATAAATTTTTCTGAAAATGAGATAATCATAAATTACTTGTTGAACCTGTCATGTGTAAGAGAGAAATGACTGTTTATTTTTCAATTTTACAGGGTCTAGCCTTTCTAAGCTGCTTGAAGGTAAATACTAAAAACAATACTTATGACAAATGTTTTTGGGCAATTTTCTCTAAATGAGTCAAACTGTCACCATAAAACGTATAAATGTGCATAATATTATTTTCATTGGTATTTTTCACATTGCAAATGGAAAGGAGGCTTTGTTCTAAATAGTCACGGTTGTATAGTACGGGGTGTCATCAATATTTTTACACTCCTCGACTTATAATTGTGGTCAAAGAGCTCTAAATTGTTTTATTTTTCATTCTTACTATTACGATTCAATGCGTTCCAACTCAAAATTCTGATGTCTGAATTTCGCTGTCATTATTAAAAATCAGGTTTTTACGACAGTAAAATTAGAATAATTGAATAAAGCTCATTATTTTTAAGAAAATATGTTGTCCCTAACCATATCCTTGCAATTTTTTAGCGATAAGAAAATCAGTTGTAAATTAATTAATATTTCATTCCGTAAATATTGAAATATTATTTTCTTGAAGGTCACGAGATTTACTGATGATGAATCTTCATATATAAAGCATAACTAGCAAAAATATTTCATTGCATGAACAATAACCTCCATTGTTGTTAATGAAGTTTAGTATTATAAAAACTACGAAACAAGCTATTATTGTTTCTTTACCCGAAGTAATAATCCAACTATAAACGACCACAATTATTAACTTTGATGATAAAACCACGAAAGTTTGCCACATTACTATAACTTCTCCAGTAGTATATTTTATGGATAAGGTTAGCTTAAAGATGTTATCGAATAATGTGCATGTCATGAATAATCAACATGGAAACGTTGCTTCTTAAATAACTCCACTTTTAATGTTTTTCACTGTTACATGTTATTTATTGTAACTTTGCCTCTTTTCCTGTAAAAATATAATACTCATAGTGCATACCCAGGCCTGCATGCATGTGGTCCAAAATCAGTCTGGGTGTTTTCATACACTTGCATTTCCTCTTAGTAAATACCTTTAAACAAGGGCAAAGCTACTACAAATTATTATATCGTTTGACACTCTACATACATGTAATATAATCACTATATTGAAAAAAAATTACTTTTTTTTTACATTCACGCAACTAAAATACGATTGGTGTGTTAAAGTTTTATTTTATACTTCTCTCTCAACTTGTTTACCCAGAAAAAATTCAAATATTCGAGTTTATTATTGGCTAAGCGATTAAAATTTTATAATTTTAAGTTTGCGAAAACCGCAGGACAGTTAGACGATAGTGTTACTAAATTAGAGAAGTGTTAATTAATTATTTGAAGTTATTATGTGTCTATAGAGTCTTACAGGTTATTCGTCTGTTATATGTTATGAGTTTATGAACAATGAAATAGTTAGTTTGACCTACAATGTGTAAGTTGAAAAATGTCTTTTTTTCTGTTGCAGATGAGAGTTGTCGATATACAGGTTAGTATGGTTGTGTAATTAACTATTGACGAATGCTTATTGATAATTTATATATGAAAAATTGTTTTGTAATGTGAAAGTAAAATTTACTCAAATTTTCATTGCTGTCTTGCATGCGTCAAACAATCTTTATATAATCTCTCAAAGTTTTTACGATATTTTCCCATAAATCAGCGCAGAACTTTTTAGGAGTAAAGGATATATTTTAAATTTACGTTGATGCAACTGAAGTATGATTGTTACTTGACGTTCTATTTTGTACTTCTCTCTCCTCTCGTTTACCCAAGAAACATTCTCTTATTTGAGTTTATTCGTCTCTAAATATTTAAATTTTACAATTTTTAAATGTGCCAGTTAATTTTTCATTTGTAAACGGTAAAATATTGCTTTAAAGAGTTTTTTGCAAGTATTTTGGATATATTTCGTCTTTACGCTAAATATCAGCAGATTTTTTGTTTTCATTAAAGCAAACGCGATACCTTACGAGGTCTACCGAAATGCATCGATCATTTAATTTATCTTAATGTTGGTTTTCAACAGTTCTTTTTAAAAACATATACCAAGGTCATAGTTGTAATTTACCATGGTAAATATGCTCTTTTTAAAGCAGTATTTAGTTTTCTTACCACAACCAAAGCTTTGTTTTATAAAACTTAAAAATTGTATTGTTTTCATTGTTTTGTTTTTATGTATAATCATAAAACATCCTTATGTTAATTTTGTTTATGGTTGTTTATGACTGTTTATGTTCACTATATCCAAAGTTAATTCATTTTAAGAGGTTTTTCGTCTGTTATATATTCTGAATTTCGTAACAATAAGATAGTCATTTAGACCTCTAATTTGTAAGTTGACAAATAATGTCTTTTTTTTCAGTTGCAGATGCTGGTCGTCGAAGTTTAGGTTAGTATGGTTGTGTAATTAACTATTGACGAATGCTTATTGATATTGCATAAATGAAAAATTGTTTTGTATTGTGAAAGTAAAATTTACTCAAATTTTCATTGCTGTCTTGCATGCGTTAAACAATCTTTATATAATCTCTCAAAGTTTTTACGATATTTGCCCATAAATCAGCGCAGAAATTTTTGGGAGTAAAGGATATATTTTAAATTTACGTTGATGCAACTGAAGTATGATTGTTACTTGACGTTTTATTTTGTACTTCTCTCTCCTATTGTTTGCCCGGGAAACATTCTGTTATTTGAGTTTATTCGTCTCTAAGTATTAAAATTTTACAATTTTAAAATGTGTCAGTTAACTTTTTTAACCAATTACTTTTACAAAGTAGAGTTATATGTTGTTTTGTTAGGTATCATATTTGGTATTATTATTTACTATGTAAGCAATGTTGAATTTGTTGCGTTCTTAAATAACTCCATTTTTAATGTTTTCACTGTTACATGTTATTTATTGTAACTTTGCCTCTTTTCCTGTAAAAATAAAATACTCATAGTGCATACCCAGGCCTGCATGCATGTGTTCAAAAATTAATCTAGGTGTTTTTATACAATAGTGGTGTCCCACAGTTAAATACGTTTAAACAAAGGAAAAACAACTACAAGTTATTATATCGTTCGACGCTGTACATACATGTAATATAATCACTGTATTGAAGACAAATTAATTTTTTTCCATTCACTCAACTAAAATACGAATGGTGCGTTAAACTTCTATTTTGTATATTTCTCTATTCTTTCGTTTACTCAGTGAATATTCAAATACCCGAATTTATTCTTCGCTAAGTGATTAAAATTTTACAATTTTAAGTTTGTGTTAACCTGAGGACAGTTTGACAATAGTATGGTCATACAATTTACTAATTTTGATAATGTTTATTGTTATGTGTCTTTGTTTTTAGTAAATTGGAGAAAGTTAATTAATTTTATGAAGTTTATATATGTCTATACAGTTATAAGTTTTTTAACAATAAGATAGTCAAGTAAGCCTGTCTTGTTTTAGTGTTAAAATAATATTTGTTTTTCTTTATTTGCAGAACTTTTGCAGCGGAACGGTTTGTATGGTTATGCGTGTTTTGCCTATATAACAATGTATTAGTAAAGAATAGTTTTAATAATAAAAAGTTATTTTCCCCCCTCAATAAGAGGTTCTATAAAAAAATCACATAACCAATATTCTTTTTTGCAAAATTAAACATTATTTTCATTACAAATGAAATTTGCATTAATGCAACTGAAATAGCTACAATATATTTTGTGCTTTTCAGGTGTCGACCTTCATGTATGTAGATGAAATTTTAAATTTTTGTTTACTCATCCCTAAGTATAAAATTTTACTATTTTAATTATGTAATAACCCGTGAATATACAATAAGACGTTTTCCCTGTTTTTACCATTCTATACTTTTGTTCAAAAACATCTATCCTGAAAACCATTTTTTTGAAAAATGTCTTTTAAATCAATTAGTTATTTTCTATTTTTTAAAAATGTATTTTTTACTTCAATTGCATGTCTCTAGACTATAACTATAGGTACCAAATGTATTCTCCAGAAAAAAAGGGTTTTAATTTTTTTCTCCATAAACGTAGGAGGCATTAATTTATTTGTCTTTTGCAACTGCATGTATAACTTACAATGTACTAATGATAAAATTTGTTTCATTTACAATCATGTTTAGAAGTAAGCATAATTCAATTTTTTATAATGAAATACCTATATTAAGCCAGACGTTTTTAACGGTTCTTTTTGCACTTCCCTGTTAAGTTCTAAATCAGGTATATCTTGTGTAAAAGTAAAAATAAAATTGTTTTTCTTTTTTTGTTTTGATAATACAGAAGAGGAGGAAAGAATACGTAGTGAAGGTTGGTATTTTCATGCAGACTAATTACGGTTTAGGGTATTTTAGGTTTGACAATATACACAGTTTAGAACAAAATTGGAAAGTAAAATACAACTGCTACGTTTTTGAAGCTCTTTTGCACTCATTTTATAGTCTACTAATCATTTGAGAATTGTCTATGATTAAAAAGCTTACGCCATACCATCAATTTGTAACCACAATATAACTAGTAATTATTGTTTCTCTACTAGACGTAAAATTGGCAGCTATGAACAACCACAACTATTAACTTTAATGATAAAACCATGAAACTTTGCTACAGTACCATAACTTCTCCAGTGCTATATTTTGTAGATATGGTTAGCTTAAATGTGTTATCTAATAATGTGCACATTATGAAAAATCTACATGGAAATGGGGCTGTTTAAATAAGCCACTTCTATAAGTCTTTATTTAAAACTTTTTTCACTTTTTATGGTTACATCAGTCATGTTTTTCTCTCTAACATGTACGTATGTATTGTAATTTTGTCTCTTTTCTGATAGTGCAAGAAAAATTAGTTGTTTTTTTACATTCTTACAACTAACATGCCATTGCTTCGGTTAAGTTCTTTTTTTGGACGTCTTTATCCGTTTGTTTACGCAAGGAAAATTCAATTATCCGAGTTCATTGTTCCCTAAGTATTAAAAGTTTACGATTTCAATTTAGTGATAACCCGAGGACAGTTTGACGATATTATAATAATAATATGCATTATAATAATATCTCACTTAGCTCGCATGGTAAAAGCAAAATTCTGATATTTGAGATTGTGTGTCTTAAGAAAATTACAATTTCATATAATGATAACTGTAAATCAGTCGAACTGTCAAGTGTAAACGTAAGCATAATGTTGATTTCATTGTTTATTTTTTTATAATGTAGAAATGACTATTACTCAAAATCTGTTTGAAGGTTGGTATCGTCCTGCAGTATATTACAAAAATAATGAAAGTTGATGCTTAAATTATTTTTTACTTCTCTCTTACCTCGTAATTCGTATGACGAAGGAAAAATTCAAATATCTGAGTTTGTTTTCCTTATGAATATTTTAGTTTTATTATAAAGATTTTCAAAAATCAAATTGTCTATTTTTATACTGTAGAAAAGGGAAAGGAAAGAGAACGACATTCTAATGGTTAGTATAGTCATGCAGTTATGATAATGATGAATGTTTAAAAGAAAGGAAAAAAATTCGAGGTTTGATGACATTTTTGACGTTAAATGTTCATACCACAGAAAGCAAGCTCATTGTAAGTTTGCGTTATAACGTAGAGCATATTAGTAATTCGGATTAATTATACATGTTTAAAGTGCTATGAAACGAAAATTTTGACAATTTTTGCCATAAATCAGTGCAGCACTTTTTATGAGGAAATGAATTATTTTAAGTTTACGTTGATGCAACTAAAATAGGGTTGTTACTTGACGTTCATTATTGTACTTCTCTCTCCTCTCGTTTACCCAGGAAACATTCTGTTATTTGAGTTTATTCGTCTCTAAGTAATAAAATTTTACAGTTTTAAGATGCTTCAGTTAACCATTCATTAGTAAACGAAAAAACACTGCTGTAAAGAGTACTTTTTCTGTTGTTTTAGATATATTTTGTCTTTACTATAACTATCAACAGATTTTTTGTTTTCATTAAAGCAGACGCGATACCTTACGATGTCTACTGAAATGCATCGATCATTTAATTTATCTTAATGTTGGTTTTAACAGTTTTTTTTAAAAACATATACCAAGATTATAGTTGTAATTTACCATGGTAAATATGCTCTTCAAAGCAGTATTTAGTTCTCTTACCACAAGCAAGGTTTTGTTTTATAAACTTAAAAATTGTATTGTTTTCATTGTTATGTTTTTATGTATAATCATGAAATATCCTTATGTTAATTTTGTTTATGGTTGTTTATGCCTGTTTATGTTCACTTTATCCAAAGTTAATTAATTTTAAGATGTTGTTCGTCTGTTATATATTATGAGTTTATGAACAATAAGATAGTCATTTTGACGTATAATGTGTAAGTTGAAAAATAATGTCTTTTTTTTTCAGTTGCAGATTTGAATCGTCGACTTTATGATTAGTATGGTCGTGTAATTAACTATTGACAAATGCTTATTGATAATGCATAAATAAAAAATTGTTTTGTAGTGTGAAAGTACAATTTACTCACATTGTCATTGCTGTTTTGCATGTGTTAAACAATCTTTATATAATCTCTCACGTTTTTTACGATATTTGCCCATAAATCAGCGCAGCACTTTTTAGGAGTCAAGGATATATTTTAAATTTACTTTGACGTTCTATTTTGTACTTCTCTCACCTCTCGTTTGCCCAGGAAACATTCTGTTATTTGAGTTTATTCGTCTCTAAGTATTAAAATTTTACAATTTTTGTTAATATTTAGCAAAATCATTCGGTTTGAGCAAACATTTATTTAATGTAGTGAGCTAATTTAATAAGAAGATTAATACAAAACTATAATCGTAACTAACTACTCAGAGGAATGTCAATAGTTTATACATACAAAGATATCACGTGACTAAATAAACTGAACTATATATGTGAATATGAACTAGCGTTCTATTTTTCGTATAGTGATGCAGTATAATCCTTAACACTCCCTCTCGAAAAATATGAACTGTAACTAATCAATTAAACATTTAAAGAGTTCTTCTAACTTTCATGAGTTCTCTCATACTTTGAAATTTCGTCTTCCCTAATGGTTTGGTCAACAAATCTGCTAGCATTTCATCTGTAGGACAATAGTCAAGACGTATTTCTTTATTGGATACTCTATCACGGATATAATGACATTTGATATCGATATGCTTGGTTCGAGGATGATACTTTGGATTTTTGGATAATGCTATAGCTCCTTGATTATCTTCTTTAATCGGAGTGGGTTTTCTTTGAACAAAACTTAAGTCTGAAAGCAGTGCACGTAGCCACATTGCTTCTTGAGAAGCCAAAGATGCAGCAACATACTCTGCCTCCTTTGATGAAAGTGCTACGACACTTTTACTAGCCCAACTGATTACTCCTCCGCATAAAGTAAACAGATATCCTGATTGCGATTTCCTTCCATTTGGATTACTTCCCCAATCTGCATCAACATAACCTTTTAAGTCTATATCAACTTCTTCCTTTCCATCATATACAATTCCGTAATCAATTGTTCCTTTGACGTATCGCAATATACGTTTTGCAGCTATCCAGTGTTCTTTTCCGGGTTTCGAACAAAATTGATTCACCATTCCCAGTGCTTGTGCAAGGTCAGGTCTTGTTCCAGTAACTGCATATGTCAATCCTCCAATCAACGCTTGATACTTAGTAGTCTCAACTGGCTCTTCTTGATTGGGTAGCAACTTTGCTCCTTGATTAACAGGCGTTGCAACCGGTTTACACTGATCCATACCAAACTTTGCCAATAAATTAGTAAGATATTTCGATTGATGTAATTTCATTCTTTTTCTTTCTCTGTCTCGTTCAACTTGAATTCCAAGACAACAACTTATTTCTCCAAGATCCTTCATTTCAAAACGTTTTCTTAATGCTTCCTTTTCTCTTTGCAATATTTTGAAATTATTACTGGCTAGAATTATGTCGTCAACGTATAAGGCAATAACCATAATATCATCTCCCTCTCGCTTTATATACAGGCAAGGGTCTGATTTTGATTGTAGATATTCTGAACCTTTCAAAAATTGGTCGATGGTGATGTACCAACATCGTGATGACTGTTTCAATCCATAAATGCTCTTGTTCAGTTTACAGACGAGTTTTTCTTCTCCCTTTTTTATGTATCCTTCAGGCTGGGACATGTAAATTTCTTCTTCCAATTCACCGTTCAAAAAGGCTGTAGAAACATCCATTTGATGTATCTCAAAATTAAGCTGGTTCGCAATTGCCAACAAAGAACGAATTGATTTATACTTTGCAACAGGCGAAAAAGTTTCGTCGTAATCCAAACCTGGTTTCTGAGAAAAACCTTTTGCAACTAGACGAGCTTTATGTCTCTCTACAGATCCATCCACGTTGTATTTTACTTTAAATACCCAACGACAATTGATAGTTTTTCGTTTTTCGGGAAGATCAACTAATGTCCATGTTTCGTTCTTGATATGAGCAGCCTATTCATCATCCATGGCATATTTCCAATGCTTCTTATCAGGACCAGTTAGAGCTTCGTCTACGGTTGTGGGTTCTGTTAAACTTAGCTCTTCATTTATGAATGCTGTGTTACTTTCACACCAATTTCCAGTAATCACTGTCCCATATCTTTCTGGAGGTTTTCGTTGACGAAATGAACGTCGTGGTTGTTCTTCGATTTCTGTTTCTTGCAAAATGTTTGTCTGATTCATGTCTTGATTAGGATCTATTGTGGTATCGTCTTTATGATTCGGTGAAGGTAAAGAAAGATTAGTAATCGTAAATTCTTCTTTAATAAATCTTGAATTCATTTCATTGAGATCAACTATTTCTTTCTTTGTTTGTTTGATAAATTCATCTTCATTAAACAAGACATCTCTGGATATATAAACCTTTTGAGTCTCAAGGTCAAAAAGTCTATATCCTTTACTTGAAAGACTATAACCAACAAATATACATCTTTTTGTTTTCGAATCCCATTTCTTTCTATTTTCCTTTGATACATGCATATAGGCAGTACATCCAAATACCTTAAAATGCGATACATCTGGTTTCTTTCCATAGAAGCTTTCATAAGGTGTCATTCCATTAACAGCTGTTGTTGGACTTCGATTTCTAATAACGACTGCTGTGCATACAGCTTCAGCCCAAAACATTTTCTCAAGATTTGCATGACACATCATGGACCTAGCCGCTTCTTGTATAGTTCGGTTCATTCTCTCGGATACACCATTCTGTTGTGGTGTTCTAGGTACACTTAATTGATGTTGAATTCCCTTTTCTTTAAGATAGTTCATGAACTCTTTGGATCTATACTCACCGCCATTATCTGATCTAAGGATTTTGATCTTCTCTGTGAAATTTGTAACCATAGCTTTATATTCCTTAAACTTCTCTAATACCTCATTTTTTCTTTTTATAAAGTAAACAGCTGTGAATCTGGACTTATCGTCAATAAAGGTAACATAGTAACGACTACCACCATAACTGTTTTCTTGCATAGGTCCACAAACGTCACTGTGAATGATTTCAAGAATTTCCTTTGCTTGAGTTGCTTGTCCTTTGGGAAATGAAATTCGATTCTGTTTGCCCTTTGCACAACCTTCACAGAACTTAGGTTCTTTTGTAGACTCAAAATCCAACCCATTAACCAATTTGTGATCTCTCAATAATTGCAAATTCTTTATACTCAAATGACCATACCTCTGATGCCATAAATCCTCTTGATGATCTTTTTTAACCATATTGACATCATGGAATTTATCATTCTTTAAACTTGCATCAAGTATGTATAAGCTATTTCGTAGCTTACCAGATCCCATGACAGTTCCTGATGTGTCAAAGATAACACATCCACTTTCTTGAAGATGAATTGAATATCCTCGCTTAGTCGTGGCACTTACTGAAAATAGATTCTTCGCAAGGTCTGGAACATGCAAAACATCCACCAATCTTACAGGTTTATATTTCTTACCAGCTTTGATGTTAAGCCAAATATTTCCTTTTCCAAATGCTTGGACAACACGATTATCTCCCAGACGTACCTTTTGTGGGCTTGCAAAATGAACATAGCCAACCATCATTTTCTTTTCATATGACATGTGTTGGGATGCTCCTGAGTCTATATACCATTCAAAGTCTTTATGATTTTAGATTCCGATGACCAAAATAATGCATGTTCAACAGATGCATTAAATGATGTATCTTCTTTTCTTTCTTTGGGGTCTCTTGACTTATTTTTCTTGGGTTTATTGCAATTTCTTGCCCAATGTCCAGGGATTCCACAATTGTAACATTTTCCTTTTTTCTTGTATTTTATTTTTATTTTATTGTTTCTCTCATTTTTTGACAATAAAGCATCTTCTCCAACATCTGCACTTGATAAATTTTCTTTACGTTTGTAGTCTTCATGCAACAACCTTGCTACTACAAATTCCAATGTTAAATCATCAGCACGAGACTCTAAAGCTGTAATCAAGTTACTGTAGGATTCCGGGAGGCTACATAAGAGCGTTGCAACCTGATCATCCTCTGTTATAGATGCACCCAGCGCTTCAAGCTGACTTGCCAAAGCTTTCATTTTGTTAATATGCTCAGACATAGATTCATCAATCCCCATAGTTGCCGAGAAATATTTCTTTCGAAGAAACAGTTTGTTCGCCAAAGACTTTACTTCATAGTGGTCTTCCAATTTTGACCATGCTTCCTTCGCTGTTTTAGCCGATCGAACTATTGACAATTGTTCGTCCTTTAATGATAAACAGATTGTAGCGAGAGCTTTTCTTTCTCGTCTTTGAAATTGTTTGCGTTGAGTTTCAGTAGAATCTTCAACAGAAGGCTCAACCTCGACGCCTTTAACAATATCCCAAAGATCTTTATCTTCTAGGATCATTTGTAACTTAAATTTCCAAAGATGAAAGTTCTCTCCATTAAATTTTTCGATTCGATAAAACATTGCGTGTTCGTCACTACCTGACGCCATTGTCAAAACTTGTCAAAGATGCGGCTGATTTATCTATAAATTACACTCAACAAGTCCTCAAACCGAACAGGCGCTCTCTGGGCCGATAACCTGTTAATATTTAGCAAAATCATTCGGTTTGAGCAAACATTTATTTAATGTAGTGAGCTAATTTAATAAGAAGATTAATACAAAACTATAATCGTAACTAACTACTCAGAGGAATGTCAATAGTTTATATATACAAAGATATCACGTGACTAAATAAACTGAACTATATATGTGAATATGAACTAGCGTTCTATTTTTCGTATAGTGATGCAGTATAAACCTTAACAATTTTAAGATGTATCAGTTAACTTTTTTAACCAATTGCTTTTACAAAGTAGAGTTATATGCTGTTTTGTTAGGTATCATAATTGGTATTATTATTCACTATGTAAACAATGTTGAATAGAAATGTTGCTTCTTAAATAACTCCACTTTTAATGTTTTTCACTGTTACATGTTATTTATTTTAACTTTGCCTCTTTTCCTATAAACAATAAAATACACATAGTGCATGCCTAGGCCTGCATGCATGTGTTCAAAAATCAACCTAGGTGTTTTTTATACACTAGTAGTGTCCCACAGTTAAATACGTTTAAACAAGGAAAAAACAACTACAAGTTATTGTGTCCTTCGACACTGTATATACATGTAATATAATCACTAAGTTGAAGATAAGTTAATTTTTTTTACATTCACGCAACTAAAATACGAATGGTGCGTTAAACTTCTATTTTGTATATTTCTCTATCCGTTCGTTTACCCAGTGAAAAATCAAATACCCAAGTTTATTCTTTGCTAAGTGATTAAAATTTTACAATTTTAAGTTTGTGTTAACCTGAAGACATTTTGATGATACTAGGGTCATACAATTTATTAATATTGATAATGTTTGTTGTTATGTGTCTTTGTTTTTTGTAAATTGGAGAAAATTAATTAATTTTATGAAGTTTTTATGTGTCTATACAGTTATAAGTTTTTTAACAACAAGATAGTCAATTTAGCCTGAATTGTGTTAATGCGAAAATAATATTTGTTTTTCTTTATTTGCAGAACCTTTGTGTTGGAAAGGTTTGTTACATGTTTGGAAAGGTTTGTATGGTTATGCATGTACGGCAATATAACAATGTATTAGTAAAGAATAGTTTTATTAGTAAAAAGTTATTTTTATTAATTTTGTTATTTCCATCGATAATTATTTTCGATGGTCATAATTTGCTTACTTTAAAAACTATAGCAACATAGTAATAAATTGCGTAAACTTGCTTTTAGAAACTACGTCATAAGCTTTACCAAATATATAAACAAACATAGATTTTTAAGTACCAAGTTTGAACAAATACAAAACAATTGTGCGTCAAAAGCTGAAAAATATATAATAGACTAAAAATTGCGATGTTCATAAAAAGATGATGAGCATCTGACAACTTCGGTGTCATTTGCGACTTCTCCAGGGGGTAGATTGTGGTTACAAGTATCTCTGAGTGTTTCGATGAAAAATAGAATAATAAAGTTGTTAATGTTACAATTTTTGAAAAAATTCTTGTTGTGTTACTAATAATAATAAATTTGAGTTAAACTGTAATACTTTTCTTATAATTCAAAACCAATTAACGTTAACAGGATTAGAATAGTTAAATTTCAATTTTTTGCAATTTTTTTTGCAGTCTCGTTGAAATGGTTACTGTTATGTTAATTATGTTAATAGTATTTATTGTTCTTTTTACTACAGCGACACACATTTATTCAAGCCAACTTGAAATCGCTGAGAAAACGGGCAACAAAATACTCAATCTGAAGTTTAAAGCCCAGATGCACACCAATGAATATCACAAATTTGGTAAGACACTATTTAAAATATAAAGCTAATTGTTTGCAATAAAAATGTTAGATATCGAATCCACATTTCTGTTGATTATCTAAAGTTATAAAGGTAGGTCACATGTTCGCAGTTTATATTCAAGCAATTTTAAATATTTGCTCATGATTATGTAGCAAATGTACTTTGAAACCACGATTTGTGCTTGCACTTGAAACTAACAGAGCCAGAGACGTACTGAAATTTTAGAATGATGAAAACTTTTACACCACATTAATATTAGAATTATTGAAATGTCTATTGACTATTTGACTATTTTTTATATTTTGCTAAATGGCATACAATTATTTTAAGTTGGGTTGTCGCAAGAATGGAATTGCGTTGACAAATCAGTGATGCATCGCGAAAAGTTTGAAATGATGCAAAAACATTGGCTTGAACATCCAGGTGATATTAGAATTAAAGGCGATGTACGTGTGATTTTCATGAAAAAGTTCTTGATTGGCGAAGGAAGTGGTGGAACCGTTTATCTTGGCTTGGGAAAGGATGGTTATGGAAAAGCTGTAAAACGAATCCTTAATGATAGCTGTATCCATCTTGCTCTACGAGAAAAGAATATTTTGAATGAGCCAAACGCAATGAAGTCGAAGCATGTTGTAAAGTATTGGAACTTCGTAGAAGAGGAAGGAGAAGATTTTGTCTATTTGATATTAGACTTGTGCGAACAAACCTTGACAAGTTTTGTTAAGTCTAGTAGTTTAGATAAACTTCACGAAGCCCTTCCCGAAATCCTTAGACAAATTTTAAATGGATTATCTGATCTTCATAGTGGCCCAAGTTCTATTCTTCATCGGGATTTAAAGCCTTCTAATGTTCTTCAAGACGTGAAAGGCAAATTTATGATAGCTGACTTTGGTATTAGTCGAATTTTGAAGAGTGGCTCTAACACACATAAAAGCGATCCTAATAGGGGAACTCAGTATTGGATTGCACCTGAATCCTATATTGATGGTCGTTACAAGAAAGAGTCTGATATAATGGTAAATATGTTCTCTAAAAAATATATAGCTATTGTTCAGTTCTGCATATAACTAATAAACTCAATTTTTTTAGCATTTCAGTATCTACAGTTGATGTTGTGACTATTTATGGGATTTTTTATTGATATTAGAGTGCAGGAATGGTGGCTTATTATGTTGCAACAAAAGGGGAACATGCATTTGGAACTGAAGAGAATAGATTGAAAAACTTGTTAGATGGAAACCCTGTTGGCTTAAAGAAAATTGATGATGTTCAACTTAAAGATCTTCTTTCATGGATGCTACAGCATAAGCCTGAACTCAGGCCATCAGCCATTGAGGCGTTAAAACATCCTTATCTACAATCCAATGAAGAAATGTTTGACATGCTGTGTGATGTTGGAAACCAACCGGAGATAAAGCAACCACAATGTCAAAATTCAGATGTTCGTAGGCAGTTGGATTGTCCCACAGAATGGACGAAACGTATCGATGATGAAATTTTGAAATATTTCAAAACATTTGAAGTAAACAACAAAGAAAGAACTGTAACCTACGAGTCTTCATGGGCAAGTTGTTTGAGATTCATACGTAACGTTGGTCAGCACTGGCATGATAAACCTCATCCACGTCTATCGCCATATATCAACGAAGGCAATTATAAAGAGTTTTTCATGCAACGTTTTCCCAAACTTCCTCTACTGGTGCACAAAATTATTAGGTCGACTGACTGGAAAACAAGACCTGATCTCAAAAAACATTTTACGAGTAAGTAAAGCATTCGAAATTGTTTTTAGTGTATACGAATGACGTAGCTATATATAGAGATCAATTTACGATTTACAATGTCAAAACTTTGATAGTAATTTTCACTCCACTTGTTTGCCTAAATTATAAAATATATTCGTATTTAATATCGCTTGATTTTAAGCAATTACTCCTGCAAATAATTCTAGATACCATACATGTTTGAAAACAAAGTATTTGATAGAAAGAAACGTAAATTAAATACCTGCATAATTATTTATTCTTATACTCTGATGCTGAGTTTCCACAACATACCTATGTTATATAGCTCCATGATCATTTATATAGTTGTAAGATTTTACTTTGCTTTGTCATAATGGCATTTTTTATGCAAATATTTACACAAACGTAATCTTTATTGCCTTTTGAAATGTTAACTACAAACAAGAATGCAATGTAACCATTGAGATTCGCTTATATCTTCCTTATTCACATACTTTTGTTAACGGTCAAAAAAGTGAAGAGTGAAATAGCTCAGCAAGTTTTCCTTTTATCATGCTATCATGTATTAACCGTGTAATGTATTCCATTACTCCAAGTATTCCATTAATTTTCAGCTTTTTACGAAAAGATATCTTTGCCATCTCCCATGAGTGACAACGACTATGACGACATTGACAAAACTCCTTCTTCAGCAGTACTTGGTAAGAAGTTGTATTTGTTAGCAAACATTTGCATAAAAAACTTTACATTCCCTTTAAAAGTCAAACACAAACAATTATGAGTCGTTTATATCATGCGCATAATTCATACGTTTGTAAAGGGTCAGATAAGAGAGTTTTAGAATTTGTCATCATGCTGTAATGTTATTTAATTGCATAGCAAGAAATTAATTTGATTTATCTATTAGATGATAATAACAGTGAAGTCATCATTGGTGTTTCGCCTTCCGCATCAAAACCTGGTAAGCAAAAGAATTTTTTTACCAAACATTTGCTGCCCAAACATTTCCATGTTTTCTAACGCTAAACACAAACAATAATTTATAACCTGATAAATTAATTTTGAAAGGTATCGTTATATATAGCCAACTAAAATATTTTATTTCAAAAATAATGCAAATGTTGTGGATCATAATCATGTGAAAATTTTAAACTTTGTAAACATAGAAATTTGATCAATATGTATAGAAAGTGAAAACTGGCTATGATGCTAAAAGTGAATTGTGAAAACCATCATGATCAACGTGTCAGTTACATGTATACGTTACACGTACACAAATTAACTTAAATAGAATATTGTTGAAAACATCCTTTTAAAACATATTATTTGATTATTGATAGCCAATAAAAGACAATAATTATGTTTACGAATACATAGTTTCATGTAGCGTTTATGTGGTAGCTAGATGCCCTGATGTTGGATCTAAGTTATCCGTTTCCTTTGACTTTTTTGTGACAAATAACTGTTTCAAGAGATATTTATGATGTGTTATGAAAAAGTAAATTATTAGTTTTACGGAAAAACTTGCAATAAAACCCACGTTGTTATTTTTTAAGCCAAAAGATTAGCAAACACAAAGTAAGGTAGTTCAACTCACTAGTTCAGCTCTCTCTTTGCAAACACACGTTATTAGCATAACCATGCATGCAATATTTGCAAGACCGAATCACTACGTAAATGCAAATTCTAAATAAATTATGGCTCGCTGAAAGGTTTGAGGGGGAGTGTTCTACGTCATGGGACCAACTTTATTGTGTCTTTATTGGACCAAATATCCCAAAATTTTAGTCAGACCGACATTTTTCGTCTTTTATCCGTTTGTGGACCTACTTTTTATTCATATTTTACAAAAACTGGGTAGTGTAACATGTGATATACACTTTTATTTTCTTTATCATGTGTTTAGATGGAGATGATAATTTGGATGAACACTTTTGGATGAACACAAGCTTTTCAGAAGGTAACCTTAAAAATATTAGGTATTTTAATTCTCCTAACTCTTTTAACCTCGACAGATGCTTTCATCTTTGATTTTTCAATCTCAATGTTTACGCATTTAAAGGAAACTGTACTGCATATTTGCATAAGATCGTTACACTAGAATATTTACATAAGATCGTTAAATATATGCAAAGCCGATGTGGGCAGCAAAAAACTATAATGCATGCCAAAAAATGTTCCTTATGAAAATGCTCTTTGTGACTTACATATTGGTTTGAGTCGTTTAAAAAATAACAAGCGTTGTTTTTAAAATGTCAGCGTTTTGACGGATTGCTATTTTTAACTACTTCCGTTATAATGGTGCAAAAAAATAAATTTTAAAAAGTTTACTCTTTCCTATACTGTTACCATTTTACGACGGTGAGATACTCAACTGTGAATCGAATGCAAAACATAAATATAAACTTTGTGCTAGGGATTAATGATGGTTGTCTTAATGCAGAAAAGAGAGTGGAAGGAGGATACATTTGTGAATGATTTTTTATATATCCGTGTTTACAAACCTGCAACATTCTTAATAAATCAAAGCGTTCTCAACTTTCACTGTGTTGCAACCAAAATAATTTTTTGCTCTTGCGCTTGCACACGACAATAATAAAATTTTTGTTTTCAAAATTGATTGTACAAACTATATGCTTGTCTACAATAATCTTAAAAATATGACCATAATTTCTAATTAGCAGCAATTTTAAAAAACACTTGAGAAAAACGACGATTTTTTTGAAAGCAAACATGTTTCGACATTATCAGAATGCCATCTTCAGTGCAGAATGGTTAGTGTTAAGTAATATGATACGTAATATGATATGAATAAATTAATTACAATGAATAGGATTATGATTCAGTTACTAAATATAAAATATTTACAAAAAAGGAAAAGAAAAATAAGTATTAAGAACTTATAACAAAAAATATTATTATAAAGTAAATATAGTGTTGTAGTGGTGAACTTGGATATTTAAATTGGGATTAGTTTTATTAATGTGTAGAGCTTCCTTGATTTTGAGTGAGAAAGTGGATTGATTAGTGTCGATGATTTTAAAACAGGAAGGTGAGAATTTGTTTTTACATGAAGGAGAGGCTTCCGACATTCTGGCAACATTCGAACGAATCCACTATTCATTAAGAAATAAACTTATCAAACAAGAGGACTATTCAATACTAAAAACTGAACTTGGTCACTTGGCTTACACGTACGTAACTTCCTATCATCCAACTCCTAAAGACCTGAAGAAACATAAAATTCTAAGGAACATTCGTAATAATGACAAAATCATTGTTCTTAAACCTGACAAAGGCAATGGTGTAGTCATTATGGATCGTCAGGTATACATTAACTCTTGCCTCACTATCATTAACAATTTATCTAAGTTCAAACCACTCGATCATGATCCTACAATTTCCCGTGAAGCAAAGTTACAACGACTGCTACGTAACTTAAAGAAAAAGAACTCTATTAACGAAAAATCATTTCAAGAAATGTACCCTAGAGGTTCACAGCCAGCTCGATTATATGGTTTACCTAAACTTCATAAACTAAACAATATCAATGACATACCTCCTATCAGACCTATAAATTCTTCAATCAATTCGTATAACTACAAATTAGCCAAATACCTCAGCTATTTACTCCAACCCCTAATACCTAATGACCATTCTGCTAAAGATTCTTTTAGTTTTGTCGATGATTTTTTATCTTTTAACACTAACGCTCCACATGACAAATTCTTTATTTCTTTTGACGTTGAAAGCCTTTTTACCAACATACCACTGACCGAAACCATAGACATTGCTATTGATTTAATTTTTACCAACAACCCTACATTCAAAATGAGCAGAACAGAACTAAAACTATTGTTTAACATCACTACGGCCGAGACTCATTTTTTATTTAACGGTAAGTACTACGACCAAATTGACGGGGTAAGTATGGGCTCACCCTTGGCACCCATTCTAGCCAACATTTTCATGGGTTTTCACGAACGAAACTGGTTAAATAACTACAGCAACAACAAACCTTTATTTTACCGCAGATACGTGGACGACATTTTTTGTATTTTTCATAACAAAGAGGAAGCATTACTCTTTTACGAATACATCAACAAACAACATCAAAGCATAAACTTTACATACGAAACCGAACAAGACAATCAGTTACCCTTTCTTGACATCTTACTAACTAAATCACATGAAAACTGTATGACCTCTACGTACCACAAACCAACATATACAGGACTACTGACTAACTTTTTTAGTTTCACACCATTAAATTACAAAATTGGACTGATACGAACACTGACCGACAGAGCTCGGAAACTTAACAACACAGACATCGGCTTTCAACGTGATCTAAAGAAACTAATATTCACTCTCCAACGTAATTCTTTTCCTTTTCATTTCATCAACAACACTATACAACACTATTTGGACAACAAGAAAAGCACTGACTCATCTAACTCCACAACTAACACTAACGATATACAACAACCTGACAATAAACGTTATTTCAAACTACCTTACATAGGTGATTACTCACGACACACACAACGCAAACTCACACAAATCATTAAACGCTACTGCACTGACATTGATGTTAAACTTATTTTCACACCTTTTAAAATAAAATCTTTGTTTTCGTTTAAAGACCCACTTCCCGAACTTTCCAAATCTATGGTAGTTTATCAATTTTCATGTGCGGGATGTAATTCCCGCTATATTGGTGAAACTTCTCGCCAATTATCTACCAGGATAAAGGAACATACTCACACAGACAAAAACTCCACTATCTACAAACATCTTCAAGCCTCTCCTTCATGTAAAAACAAATTCTCACCTTCCTGTTTTAAAATCATCGACACTGATCAATCCACTTTCTCACTCAAAATCAAGGAAGCTCTACACATTAATAAAACTAATCCCTATTTAAATTTCCAAGTTCACCACTACAACACTATATTTACTTTATAATAATATTTTTTGTTATAAGTTCTTAATACTTATTTTTCTTTTCCTTTTTTGTAAATATTATATATTTAGTAACTGAATCATAATCCTATTCATTGTAATTAATTTATTCATATCATATTACGTATCATATTACTTAACACTAACCATTCTGCACTGAAGATGGCATTCTGATAATGTCGAAACATGTTTGCTTTCAAAAAAATCGTCGTTTTTCTCAAGTGTTTCTTAAAAATATGATAGCTATATATAAAAATACTTTCATTTGTTTCCACATATTACATCATTACTCATGTGACGACCAATATCTTGAGCCATGGTTATTTTCCTCGTAATGAATACAGAAGCAAACATGTTATTGTTGAAGAGAAAAACCAATCAAAAATACTTTTTATAATGTAAAATTGTAATTTGTGGTGCTGTAATTTTTATATTTTCTTATATTTATAATCGGTGTGGTATTATGATGCGACCAAATCTTAAAAGAAGCCCATACATTAACATTGTTCATAGTTCATGATAAAGAGCCCATTAAATTGTTTTGTTGTGATATAAATAAAACAAAAAATGCTCTAGTTGCTTGTCACTATAACCATATAATACTTGAATATTATTTCATTATTTATTTTTATAATGCTGAAGAGGGAAAACAACGTTTGGAAGGTTGGTATAACGAATTATTTTCAGTTTCGTAAAGCATTATGATTAATTTTTTTACTACTCTCAATTGCTCGAGTTGGAAAATGCTGTGCAAATTTTTTCAATTCTCAGAATTTTTTAATGAGTATTAATTAGGAATGAAAAATTCTTTTGATTGCATGTATAAAAATGTCCGTGTCTGAACGTAAAGTGCAGCATGTCGTAAGCAACTATTTTAACTATTTCTTATTTTTCCCATTTAAAACAAAGTCAGTTATTGAAGGGATCATTGCTTTGTAAACATTTGTATAGATCATTGAGTAAATTCAATTTATTTTAAGAGGATTTTTGGTCGTAACATTCAGATACTAAATTTCATGTTTTATCTTAATGTGAAAAGGATGTGTGTTTATCCATTGCAGAATTGCTCAATCTAGTATAGCAGATCTAGCGTTTGTCAAAATGAATTATTAATGCTCAATTTTAAATTCAAAATATTTTCAAACCAAAACTTTTGAATTTGAATTTCAAAAAAATTAAACTTTATCAATGGACTTGCCTCTATGTATTTGGAAATGGAAATATATCCAAGCAAGAGCTGCAGCAATTTATTTTAACGTACCCTAGATCCGCCACTGGCTTTATTGAGTTAAAGGTTGGTATTGTCAGGCAATGAGCTAATCGTGGAACGACGATTATTGCGTGTAAATTGTATGACGACCAACTCATTTCTACCGGAGTAAATGTTATTTCCACATAAAAGTAAAAACATCCGTGTTTTCTCATCCAGAAAAAAACACAGCAATGTTATATGTTATGTGATATTGCCAAAACAAATAAAAATGTGAATTGATGAATTTATTGCATGAATTTATCAGTCCTTTTTTAATCTTTCCTGATTTGTACTTCTCCTTAAAGTTCAAGAATTGTTGCGTCAACCATGGAAATGTTTTGATAAATCAATAATGCATCAGAAAAAGTTTAAAAAGATGGAAGAATATGGACGCGAACATCCAGAAAAAGTTACACTGCTCAATGAATTGCGTGTAATTTTCAAGAATGAATTTTTGCTTGGCAAGGGAAGTGATGGAACCCGTGTTTACCTTGCCCTGGGAAACAATGGTTACGGAAAAGCAGTAAAGCGAATACACAAAGATAGCGGCAAAGACTTTGCTAATCGAGAAAAAGAAATTTTGAATGAGTTTAATGCAAAGCGATCAAATTATGTTGTGAATATTTGGCATTTAGAAGAGAACCTTGACGAAGAGTATTTCTACATGGTATTAGATTTGTGTGAAGAATCGTTAGAGAATTATGTGGAATCTTCTTCTTTGCAAGATCTTCAAAAAGTCGTTC